CTGTTAGGACCCACCAGGACCCTACCAGTACCTTAGCAAGACGTGAAGAGGACCCTACAAAGACCCGGTAACCACGCTGCAAAGACCCCACTGGGACCCTACCAAGAACCTACCAGCATCCTGCCAAGACCCCATCCACCAGGACTCCGCTGGAACACTGGCAAGTCCTGACGCCCCGCCCCCTGAGCGGAAAGATCGCCCCGCCATCACCGACACGTGGAACATGTGGAACATGTGGAGGCCACTTGCTGAATGCATGTGCGGAGGTACGAAGCCACGCGAGGGCCGAACGCTGCAAAACACACAGCCAGATGTGTATTCAGCTCTCGCCCAAGCCAGCGACGGCATGCTTCCCGAGGTTTTTGGTTGCGCACTCCTCGCTGGCATCGCGGAAGGTTTCCCGAGGACTCTTACTGCCCCGAATAGAGAGGCTGTCCTGCTCCTGTAGCCGCCGAGTGTGCCTGCTGACCACCCCTGTCTGCACGAAGGACAGGGTCTGCGAGCGCGGGCACGCAAAGTAGGGGAACGAGAGCAAGCTGGGAGCACCTACTTGTAACGGCTCATGGGCCCATGGTCGCTCGACGCTGGTCGCAGCACATCGAGGCGACCACCCGAGCTGCTGCGGCCTCGAAGTTAAAGACCAGAAGAACCATCCTCAAAATAAGTGTCCCAGCAAGCGAAACTGTTTAGTAAACGCACCGAAGAGAATAATCGAACAGGGCAAGGCTGTTTAGAGGGCTGTTACGTAAACGCAATGTGTTTTCCCTTTTTTTGAGAAGTGGCTCCCTGCAGCCTGGGGCAGCGTGGCGCCAACCAGCACGCCGCAAGGGGCGTGCGAAGGACTGCACATCGAACTCTTTCTCGACGCGTCGGCAGGCCCCCACCGCCCTTCCGAGGTCGACTTTCCCTGCTACGAACGCGGGCCGTGAATGGCCCATGTCTGCCGATGTCCAGCTTGAGAGCCAGAGTCCGGGGAGGTTCCAGCAAGCTGAAGTTGGCTTGACACTCGATTGAGCTGACTTGCGTCGAACACATGTTCAAACGTTCCAGTCACACTTATTCGCATCTCGGCTTCAAGACCTTCGGGGTCTCCGGCTTCCAGCCCCAAGACGTCTGCAGGCCATTCCCCCGCTGGCTATTGTTTACATGCCAGAACAGCAATACTCGGATTCGTGCCCCATCTACTTTCCCCCTCCTCCTCCTCCCCGTCCTCCTCCTCCCATTCCTCCATTCCCACCGCACTCCCATGTCGACATTGGATGATGAGGCGTTGCAGCGCTTGCCCTCTGCTTCATCGCAATTCAGAGCCGCCCTGTCCTCCTCCAATAGCAGCATCCGCTGTACCCAGAATGCCAGGCAACAAACAATCGAGACGGTGCCTTGTGGAAGAGGGCACGAGAGTCCTCCTCCGACAGAACCTTAATCACCTCGGCCAGCGCGACTAATCTTCGTGACACCCTGTTGGTGCCTGTCGGGCTGAACTGGAAAGTGCATTCGGGAAGAACAAAATGGATAGTTGTTGGTGCTGGAATCCGCCTGCGATGGGGCAGCTAGGGAGAGAGGTACACACATATGTGTATATGTGTATAAATCTAGAGATGTACAGACAACTCATGTGGAACAACGTAAGATGTATTTGACATAATGTGAGAGATGTGCAACACATGAGAAGCACCACTAGAACCATCATCATACGTCTCGCAATCGAGACGTGCTGATTCTCTCAGGTCGGGTGTCTCGCTTACGTCCATTGGCAATCCCCCACTGCGCCGGGGATTCATCCTCTGGCTGCAACTCTCCCGTAACCCAGGCTTCCTGCCGGAAATGCGGCAAGTGGCAAACACGTGCTTCTCACCGAGGCGCCAGTGATCACATACAATGTTTGTGTTACTCCGAATGCTCAGACTGAGGGGGTTCCGCCCACGCGAATCCGTTGCAAGTCGCACGCATGCAGACTGCTTCGGGGCAGGCAAACGTCGGGAGCCCGGAGGGGCCCGGTCTAGGGGCCCCAGCGGTCTCCTGGGAACCAGGGGGGCGGGCCCTGGTGGGGCACGATGGGGGGGAGGGGCCCGCGTCGTCAAGGGCGCCCAACTTCGCGCTTCGCGCTGCGTGCTGCGCGAAGCGCGAATCACTTCGCGCCCGCGCGCCGCCCCCCAGGGGAGAAGACGAGGATGAAGAGGAATCGGAGCCGAACCGCGAAGCACGAAACGCGAATCACTTCGCGCGCTCGAGGGCGCCCCTGCGTCGTGGGGGCCTGGCGGGGGGCCCGACCGGGGTCGAGCTCACGAATAGGCTGCCACTCGGCAGCAACTCAAACCACGGATCCCCGCAAAATACCGAAGAGCACTGGACGTTGCTCACCAGTAATGCCTTATGCGAGTCACGAGACTTGCATCTAACACTTCAAACTGTAGCTACTACTTACGCTCTAGTGGGAATGCAGTTCGCCGCGGCACGGCAGTCTCTACCACAAGGGGCAGAATTCACGGCGAAGCCCTCATGGATTCCTCGCCCCGCATCTTGTGGCGCTCCTCATAGTCAGCGACGGCGCTTTTGCACTTCTCCTCGAGGCGCGACATGCAGAATGCAATATGCCATGTGAACTGCGAGCTCGTGGTGGATGGGCGAGAAGGCGAAGGACAAGAATATGCGGCAAGAAACGCCTTACCCCTTGAACCGCCCCGCTACACGTCAGCGGCTTACCTCCGTAATCCTCCTTCTCCTCTTCTGCATACGCGCTCCTCCCCCAGCATCCATCCTTCCTGCCTCATCCTGCCCCTCCACCCTCCTAAACTTGCTCCTCATCCACATTCTCCTGGTCCTGCTCCCTCGTCCTTGTCCTGCTTGGCCGTCCTGTGAATGAAGAACATGCAGCAATGACCAGGAGAAAGAAGATGGCAGGACAGATTGACAGGGAGACGGGGACGAGGTCCCATCTATATGGTAAGAACCAGCATGTATCAAAGATAATCACCGCCCATCACAGAAAAACCTGCACACTCCCTGTGGGCCCAATGTTCGTGGATTGCTTTAGCATCGGCGACCGGTCAACGACACGATCTGACCTGAACTACCCGACTTCAGAAACCTTCTATTGCATCTTCGGGGGACTTTGTCTGTCCTGCCGCGCCCCTTTTCCGCGTCGAATCTGTATCGAATACATGCCGGACTCGTCGAGTCCGCGTCGAATCCGCATCGAAGCCGCCTCGAGTCTACGCCCAATCCGGGGCGAGTCTGCATCGAGCCCGCTTCGGGCACGAGAAAAGACACCCATTTGGAGGACAGACGAGGCCCTCCGAAGATGCAACCAGAGTGGATGGGCTTGTGGCTATGGGCGAAGCGTCGGAAGTAGCTGATTTGCCACTGGACGTCTCGCCCAGGAGAGCACGCAATGCCGGCCGTGATGGTGTGCTGGCCCAGCGGGCCAGAGGCGTGCTGAAATCTCCGGTGAAAGGTCAGGATACTTCAGCGAAAAAAACCCGAAGATGCAACGCAAGGATCCCAGGATCCACAAAGAATTGGCCCCTTCCCTCCTCCCGCCGCCCTCCGCCCACCTTGCGCCAGCGGGGCCACTCCTTGCGTCTGCTCCCGCCGCTTCGGCCAGCCCTACCGCCTGCCTCCCGCCTAGGAAGAAAGCGCAACTCATCGGCCCCTACGAGGACAAGGGCCTTTCCGGAGCAACCCAACAAATAGCTTCTGGGCTTCGGTCAAGAACAGAGGAACAAACAACTTCACAAACATAATTTCAGAGGTCCGCGCGGATCTCTTGGATCAGCGCCACCCCACCCCCCTGGCGCGCAGAGCGCGCCAGGGGCGGCGCCTGTGGCGCCGAAAGGGGGGCCAAGCGCCGATCCAAGAAACCAGCGATAGACGAGCGCGTTCCACTACTCGCAAAGTAACTACTCGCAAATGGCCTCGATCCGCCGCGAGGGACTTACTATATATTACACAAAAGCAAATGGTTTTTTCGGACGTTTGCGAGTAGGCACTTTGCGAGATGTGGAATGCGCTCTGCGGAGCGAGGAGCTCCCGAGAAATGACCGCAGCACCCCGCACTCGCGGACCTGAGCGAGGGGCGCTCCCACATCCGCGCGAACGCACGGTGCGCGCCCGCGCAGCGAGCGCCCGCGCAGCGAGCGCCCGCGCAGCGCGCCCGCACAGCGTGCCCGCACAGCGTGCCGGCACAGCGTGCCCGCAACCGGGCCGAGGCTCCCATCCGACGCCCCGAGAAATCACAGTCGGGGCGTTGACCTCAGGAGCCCTAAATAAGGAACGAGGCTCCTCTTTCCCATAAGTTAACCTTCGACTTCCCATGGAAAACCTGTGGAACATCCAAGGCAAACTGTAAAACGCATTTTCTTAGGCTGGAAGGCTCAGGGTGAAATCCATGTGGGCTTTTGCACCTCGAAAACCAATCCGTCTTGTGATTCACCTTCTGCAGATTCGAGCCTCGAACATCCATCGAAACGGCATTTCAGGTTTCACCCTTTGCCCTCCACCCAAAGACCATGCTCGGGAGAGATTACGTTGAGCTTCACGACCCGCCGGCGTCGCGGTCGAGGCCGGCCCCACGCGGCGCGGGCCCGAGAGTTACACATGCACGCTCTTCGCGCATGTGTGCATAGTGGCTTCGACTGGCCAAATATAGCCGCCTATCCGGCGAACACGTGGCGGCCAGCAGCGCGGAGCTGCAGCCAGTCCCGCTGATGCGTCGCTGCGGCTGATTTATAATATTGCTCACGTGCCTTCTGGACACACGGCGTTTTCTTCTCCTTCGCTATCCTTCGACAAAAAGAAACGGCGGCAAGCTCACCGCGCATCCTCCCCCGGGCGCAGCGCGCAGCACCCCTCCCAGGGCGGGAGGCCGTGCGCCGCGCGCCTCCAGCTCGAGCAGGAACTGCTGGTCGGCGCTCAGCGCGTCCTTCGTCGCAACCACCTCCTCCTTTAAGGGGGCCACAGGAGAACCCCACCCCTGCCCACCACGATTTCTGAGGGGGAGGGTGGGGTTCACTTCGCTCCCCCTCAGAAGTCGTGGGCGGCAGGGGTAGGGTTCGCATGTGGCCCCCTATCCTTGGCGTCTGCGGCCTTGGCCTGCGGGCAGCTTGCGGGCAGACATGGCCAGCACCGAACCGCAAGACCGCATCGGATCGCAACGCGTATCGAAGCGGACCGCATCGCCTCGGGGTCGGAATCGAATCGCATGGGCGGCGCCAGGATGCGCAACAGCGCCCTGGAACTATCGGGCCGCGTAGGGCCGCATCGGATCTGCCGGAGATCGGAGTCGAAAGGATTCGGGCAGGCCAGAGACGACATCGAATCGGATCGATCGGATCGAAGTGAGCCCTGCAGGGTGCGAGGCGGAGACTTCTCCACATCCGCCGCCTGTGGAACCGACGTCCTGGGGCCCCGGGGGCGGTGTGTATAGGCATGTATCTTGGCCCCGAGGGGCCTGGATAAATCCCTACCCGCCGCCTGCCGAGGTCTCCAGGGATCGATTCCCGGGGCGGTGATTCAAGACAAACCCTCCGCCTCGGAAAAAGGAAGACAGGAGACCGTCATAAGCATACATGCTCGGATCCTCTCCGGATCTCTTGGAACGGCGCTGGACTCGCATCCGTGGCGTGCGAAGCGCGCCATCGCAGCGCCGGAAGCGCCGCCAGGGGAGGCTAGCGCCGAGCCAATAAATCCACGCCGATCTTCTTCGACTTCAGGCACCCGACCGACCTCAGTTCAAGCTCCGCCGCGGGACTGCGAGGCCCAAGTTCATCATTATCTTGCCCATCATTGGTTTCTTTTATCTCCTCCTCCTCCTCCTCCTCCTCTGCCGGGGCAGAGTGGCAAAAGAGAAATTGAATCATCCGACGGATGCCTGTGGAATGATCCCCCGGAACAGACCGAGACCGTAGATCGAATTAGCATCGTAGACGCGCTAACGGCAATGCAAGTAACGGCGATGCAGGTTTCGGTATAGTGGGAACGCGCGGCTCGCGCTTTCCTAGAATTCGCTGTGTCGTTTTCGTTCGATACACCCGAAGGTCAGAAATGCTGGAGAGTGTCGTTCGCGATTTCCTACAGTTCTGTTTCCAACATCACCGTTCGGCAACATCGCCGTTAGCGTGGCCTTGGCAGCTCGAGCCGCTCGGGCCTGTGCTGTGCTGAGGCTGCCTGCCCCGAGCCATCGTCGAGCAGGGCCATTCATCCGGCAGGGCGCATGGGGCGGAGGCGAGCAGATGGGGAGCCAGGGGAGGGGTGGAGGGAGTGCCAGGGGGGAGGGGGGGGGAATAGAGAGAGAGAGAGAGAATCAGAAGAGGGAGGGAAGGACGGCACCCGCCGGGCTCTGGAGGTCCCGTGAAGTCTCCGAAGGCTTGCAGAAGCCTCCGGCAGCCCAAGCAGGGCCAGAGACGGCCAGAAAACCTTCGACGAGCAGCAATCCTCTCCCCAAACCCAGGCAGGGCCAGAAACGCCCGAACCGCCCGAGCAGTAGTCCTCGATCCCCGCAGACGAGGGAGGGGGAGGAGCTTAGCTGCCCTGGCACGCAACACGCAACACGCAGCGTACTGATATGGAGCTCAACACGTAGACTTACACGAAAAGGTCTGACACGGTACGTTCGCTTTAACGTGGGCCGATCCGTTGAGCCAACACGCAGCGTAATGGCACGCTCGTTTTGAGCACGGTGTGCGTGCTGCGTGTCAGGACAGGCGGATCGAGGCAGCTGGGAAGAGGAGGGGGGAGGGGGGCAGAGAGGGCGCGGGGCGCAGCGGAGGGAAGGTCCACCGGAGCAGAGCAGCAGGGCGGGGTGCGAGGCAGGGGGCGAGGCACACCGGAGCAGAGCAGAGCATGGCAGGGTGCGAGACCACTTTGGCCCACCGCAGCGCAGGGGGGCGAGGCACATCGGTTCCACCCCTCGGGTCGCTGAGCCGTGGGAGGTGCGGCGCCTGCAGCTGCGCCAGCTCGTTCTCTTTGCGCTCCTTGGCGCCCCCGGGGGGGGGGGGGGGGCTGCCCACCCCCGCTCCCGCAGAGGGACAAAAAAGTGGGAACCCTGGACCCCGCCCTCCCCCCGCCCCCCAGAATTCAAATTGGTCCCAAAGCATGCGGCAACACAGGCCTGAGAGATCAACAACAAAGAGTGGGCAGGGCCTCGGCGGGACCCAACCCGATTTTTAATCCCGGGGGGGGGAGGGGCGAACACGGGGTCAGACCTGAAGGGTCTCTGCCTTTTTGTCCGCTTGCCATCTCGCCTCCCTCTCTCGTTGCCGCCCACGCTCCCTCCGTCCTTGCCTCACTCCTTCCCTCTCTGCTACCACCCTCTTCCTCCTCGGAGGGTCGAACTGCATGAAGCCCGGGACGCCCAGCCAGGGCGTCCACCCATCTTCCAAGCGCCAGCCTCGCGCGCAGAAGCGGACTCCTGCAGCGGGTGCCCCCCATCACCGTCGGGAATGCGCCCTCGAGAATGGAACCAATGTGCGGTCGATCTGGACGGCGCAGCCCGATCTGCGCTAGCCGCATTCCTGGGCTCGGCCGTACTGAGGATAAGAAAAACCACATGAACAGAAACTGTTGGCGCTCCGCGCGGATTTCTTGGAGTATGTGTTGGAAGGGTGTGGGCATGTGCTTCACTTCGGCCTTCAGGCGGACCGAGACGCCCCACGAGCCGAGATCGCCCCGACGTCGCCCAAGAGGCATCCAGGATGGCCCCAGAACGGCCCAGGAAGACCCCAAGACGGCCCCAAGAGGGCCCCAAGACGGCCCAAAAAGGCCTCCAAGACGGCCCTGGAGCACCGCAAGATGGCGTCAAGTCGGCCCAGAGAGGCCCCCAAGACGGCGTCCGACGGCGTCAGACGGGAAAGGACTGCCCACTAACACGGCCCAAGATGGCTCCAAGATGGTCCAAGACGGCCCAAGAGGCCCCGAAGAGGTCTGAGACGGCCCCAGGGGCCTCCAAGAGGACCTCCAGGCAGGTCCGAAGAGACTCAAATCATTGATGTTTCTGTTGTGCTTGAAGATTTGGGTATTTGCTTCTTCTCGGCCTTCCGTCGGCCCGAGACGCCCCACGAGCCCCCGAAGATCGCCCCGAGGTCGCCCAAGAGGCATCCAGGATGGCCCCAGAACGGCCCAAGAACACCCCAAGACGGAATCAAAAGGGCCGCAAGACGGCACAAGAGGCCTCCAGGACGCCCAAGATGGACTCTAAGAGGACCCTGGAGCACCGCAAGAGGTCCTCAAGAGAGGCTCCCAAGACGGCTTCCGACGGCGCCAGACGGGCCAGGAATGCCCACCAAGACGGCCAAAGGGGCCCCCGAGAAGCCCCCAAAGGCTCCCAAGAGGCCCAAGGAGGCTCCCAAGATGCGACCAAGAGGCTCCCAGGAAGCTCCCAGAAGGCCCCAAGAGTGCCCCCAGAGGCTCCAAAGATGCCTCCTCCTCCTCCTCCTCCTCCTCCTTCTCCTCCTCTCTCTCCTCCTCCTCCTCCTCCTCCTCCTCCTCCACCTCCACATCCTTTTCCTTCTCGTCATCTCCTCCTCCTCCTCCTCCTCCTGGTCTTCCCCACCATTCTCTCCCAAGATTTACCCTGAGGTTTCCTCAACGGTTGGAGGAACACATGGTCCGATAGCTTGGCAGAGCTTTTGCAACAACGCTCGGCCACATGGGCGATTCCAAAAGGCAGGGGTCGGCGGTGACATGTTCTCATAGGTGTTTCAATGTTTCAATGTGTTGGATCCAGACTTGTTTTGCACGTGTTGCCTGGCAATTCTCATCGACGACCAGTTTCAACGGCCGCGTTCCACACTGTGGAGCACCAATGCGAGCTGCATAGGCGACTCCGCTCCAGTCACCTCGTCTGCTGTGGCCTCTTCTACCCTCCACTCCTCCCCCTCCCGTTCCCCCCTCCCTCAGCCTGCACGGTTTCCCCCAGGGCCGTAGGCGACCCGAGGAGGAGGAGAAGGAGGAGGAGGAGAAGGCGGAGGAGGGGGAGGAGGAGGAGGAGGAGGAGGAGGAGGAGGAGGAGGAGGGGGAGGAGGAGGCGGAGGAGGATGAGGAGGAGGAGGAGGAGAAGATGTAGGAGGGAGAAGGAGAAGCAGGAGGAGGAGGAGGAGGAGGAGGAGGGAGGAGGAGGAGGAGGAGAAGGAGGAAGAGGACGGGTCGCCTAAGCCCTTCGGAGAAACCCTCCACCTCAGCCCTCTTTTTCCCTCCTACCGTATGCGCTTCCTGATGCCCGTCCCTCGAGCGTCCCTCGCCCCCTGGCCAGGGCGTCCCAATGACTCCGAGCCCCGACGGCTGCGCCGACCGTCGTCTTTACTCACTGGGACCACGATGTGGAGTAAGAGACACGTGGGGGGCGCCTGCTGCCGGGCTGATGTGCTCTGTGATTGCCTTACTGTACCACTTGACTCGATGAGTTCCTGCTTCCGCTCTTCTGGCCGAAGGGCAGCCTGGTGATGTGGTACAGTCAGCCCGTGTAGAAAGGGTGCGCGGCACGGGTGCAAGGGCCTCGGAGGGCCACTTCGACACGCTGCGGGCGAGGCGCGGCCAGCGAAAGCGGCCAAGGAGGGGCCGAAGGGGAAGGACGCAAGGGGAAGCTTGGAAAATTGATCCTCCTTGCTTTTGTGGACTGACAGTAAGCCAGTTGGACTGTCCTTATTGGAAGGGTGCCGCTCTGGGCCGTGCCTGGGACCTGGGCGCAGCCGCGGCTCTCGGGGGACGGAGGCGCGAAGGACCAATGCGTGCGAGGCCGTGGCGTGGAGAGCGGGCGGATGATCCGGATGGTGTGAGGGGGCCCCAGGGGGGCACGAACGAAGATGCAGAGATCTCAGGATTTCCTGCGCTTCTCTTCCGCATGTTCTGGACGTTCGTCTTCCCCTCTGCTTCCCATACTCTCCCATCCTTTCTCGGAAAACTTCGATGATGGGCGTCTGTGTCTATTTTTCCATCCTGATGGCGGAAGAAGGGGGGGGGGAGGGGGGGGAGGAGCAGGGAGGGCGGAGAGTCTGGAGGGATTCCTGACTGGCGACAAAAATGACGCAGTGCTGGTGGCCCCCCTGCAGCGAAATGAAAGCAGGGGGGGCAGTTCGGAGACGGGGAGGAGGAGAGAAGGGGCGGAGGGGCTAAGCGTGGTGCACGGAGTGAGGAAGATTGGGGTGGAGAAAGACGCAAAAATGTGGCCGATTCCCGAAACCCTGAACCTAAAAACGTTGTCATCTCTTGGGGGCGCATGGTTTACTTCCGCAGGCTTCTGCCGACCTTCCGCGACCTTCCCCTGGCGGCGCCGGCCTTGTTTTACTTCCGCCAGCTTCCGCGGCCCTTCCGCCGCCTTCCGCCGAGGAAGAGATGGCAACTCCTTGGATCCTGGAAGGCGCGGCCATTCCTGGAACGCCGAATGTGAGCATCCTCATGCGCTCCCTTTGGAGGCAGGTCCTGCAGCTCACCTGCTGCGTGTATCTCGCCAGTCTTGGTCCCTCGGAGCCTCTGGAAGGAGATCAGAGACTGCAGCTCCTCCTGGAGACAAGGGGAGTCAAACAGTACAGAAGCGTGAACACGATACATGCCGAAGTGCGTAATCGAGACAGCGCGGCAACACTGATGATGCTGACGATGATGACATAACTATTCTCCAAGCTAAAGACATGGTGGCTCTGACCTGCGCTACGCGAGGCCGCAAACGAGTGCGTCATCGTCAATCGCCTCTGGTCGGACTGGGCGGAGTCGAAAATGAAGGAAGCCCCCGGTGGGATGGGTTGGGACGGGTCCATTCGACCTTCGGCTTCGGTTGAGAACTTATCGGGGAGGGTGGGGCTGGAAGATCTGGGACCACGTCTTGAGGCAGAACAACTGCAGACTGGCGGCTGGCGCAGCAGACGCCTGCCCTTGTGTTCACGGGAACCAGCGACTACCACTCCTGAAATCGAAGCCCTGTGGCAACGCCCAACCGCAGCCCCCGCGGGGTTACGACACGGCCGCTGTCCCGGGCCCCACGGCCGCTGGCTGCCCCGGCGAGGCACCCTCTGGGCGCCCACTGGCCTCCCTCAGCTGCTCCCGGAGCCAGCAACGGATCTCGAGCAACCAGCGGCGCTGACTCAGCCGCTGCTGGGCCTCCAGGATGTGCTTGACGCACCCCCTGAAATAGCTGCCACGGCACAGCCGAGGGCACCCGCCGTCGAAGCCCAGCCTCTGCTCGTACCACGCGTTCAGCCTCCTGGACTGCTGGTCGCCGCCGAAGTACTCTTAGATCGGGCATGCCCCCCTGCAGGCAGATTTTGGGAGAAAAATGAAAAATATTCAAAACAAGTCCTCAAACATAGTCAACAAAACTTCGTCCCCAGGCTGATGTTTAACTATTTGGGCAGCCCATTGCAAGCCGGCGTCAGTCGTCGTGCCAACGCCTGCGTATGGGGCGCGCCCACGATACAACACATGCGGCCGATCACTCCTGGGACCTCGGCGTGCTCCGAGGTCCCGGTCCGGAGCGGGCGAGGCTGCCGCGGCCACGTCAACCAGTGTAATCAATGATGAGATCCTCTTTCATCCTCCTCCTGCTGCTAATCCTCCTTCTCCTACTCCACATCATCCTATGCCCATCCCTGCTCCTCTTCTTCATATTACTAATGGTCTCTCCAGCAACTGCCAATCCTCCTCCTCCTCCTCCTCCTCCTCCTCCTCCTCCTGCTCCTCCTCCTCCTTCCTTTTCCTCCTCCTCCTCCGCCTCCTCCGCATTATCATCCACCCTACACTCGCTGCACAGGCTGCAGAGGTCCAGAGGCAGTGGCGCAAGACCAGACGCTGACGAAAAAGGGGAAAGGGAATTGCGCATGGGCCCTCCACTAAAATTCGTGGAGGAGGGGGGGGGGGGCACGTGTTTCTTGCCCAAGATGTCCTACGCATGTTGCGCCACCTTGTATCCATTTGGGCCCTATGGGCCTTGTGAGCGGTGCTCTCGAAGCCTTGGAGCATCGCAGTGAATCCTGCAGGTGGCGACATCCGAGCCTTACCCGCAACAACCATCGATTCTCCTGAATCGATGGGAGGCGGGGGTAGGGTTCGGACTTCGCCACGCCTTCGACGGATTCCGAACCCTTCTCCCGCCGCCCATCGAGTTGCCTGAATCGTTGATCTGCGAGGAGAGAAAGAGAGAGAGAGAGAGAGAGAGAAAAACAAAAAAAAAAGAAAGAGAGAGAGAGAGAGGGAGAGAAGACGCCGTGCACGTCAAACGTGCATGGGCAGGGAAAGTAGCGCCGGCATGACGGGCATGATCGGCGAGGGTCGCTTCAAATGTTGCTCAAAATAGTGCCAGGGTCCAAACGCACTAGTTTTTCCAGCTGCGTCCAGCTGTGGCGGCGAGGAGGGCCCCCCGAAGGCCCAAAAGCCTCGAACCTCGATGCTCGAGGTCCCAACCTCGGGCCGCCGCCGATCGAGTTGCCCGAGTCGTTGATCGGCGAGGGTGGGGCTCGGACTTCGCCGCCGCTCCCAGGGACACCCCGGGCCAGGGACGCCCCTGGCAGCCCCTGGACAGAGGCCCGCACGTCCCCGCCCTGCACGGTTTCCCCTGGGGCCGTAGGCGACCGGGGGAGGAGGAGCAGGAGGAGGAGGAGGAGGATGAGGATGAGGAAGAGGAGGAGGAGGAGGAGGAGGAGGAGGAGGAGGAGGAGGAGGAGGAGGAGGTTGAGGAGGAGAAGAAGAAGAAACAGGTGGAGGAGGAGGAGGAGGAGGAGGAGGGAAGAGGAGGATGCCCTGCTGGGGCTCGGGAAGGGACGCTGCCCCCCAGGGGCGGCGAGCGAGGGGGGGAGGTGAGAAGGAGGCCTTCTCAGAATAGAAGAACAACACCTGAACATAAATGTTTGGCGCTCCGCGCGGATTTCTTGGATTCGCGTTGGACCTCGCGCGCCAGGGGCGCCGCCGGAGCCGCCGCCGGGGGGCCCAGGCGCGGGTCCAAGAAATCCCCGCGGAGCGCCAACAGTTTACGCTCATGTGGTTTTCTTCTTGGACAGAAGGCCGCAGGGCCTCTCGGAAGCTCCTTGGCCTTCTGGGTAGTCTCCTGCGCCTTCGAGGGGGGCTCCGAAAACGTCGCAGAAGGCCGGAGGCCTTCCGAGCCTGCTGAGAAGGCCCGCCCCCTCTCACTTCCCCCCAGGCTGGTCGCCGACCCCTGCCTGCCTCCTCCGAGGCCATTGAACTATAGAGGCCTCCCGGACGGGGTCGACGGATCGCGCCTCATCGCCAATGCATCAGCGATGCAGATGCATCGGCGCAGCCGGCGTGCAGAAAATCGGGCTCCACATCGGGCCGCATCGCTGATGCGTCGGCGATGTGGCGCGATCCTCCGACCCCATCTTCTCCGACCCCATCTAGAAGGCCTTGATGGGGCTCGACGGGCCCCAGTGCTGCCACGCCGCGAGTTGGTAAGATGCATCCTGCCCTTCAGGACCTGCGAGCACTCCAGCATAGGGTTGGCTGAACAGTGACATACAGATCGTCTGCGGAGCCGACAATGCACAGGGGACATGATGAGATAATGGTGCACCTCTATAGTCAAGGGTGTCCGTTGGGCCTGGAGAGGTGCAGGCATGATTTTGTCTGGCCTTCGCCCCCAGCGCCCTCAAGAAAGTGGTGTCTCTCAAATCTCCCCCAACCCGTATCAGCGCATGAAGGATTGAGCATGATTGACCAAGGAGGTGTGTCGGAGTCTTGGCTGCGTCTCCCAAGTACGTCAGAGGCAACGACCAAATAATTAGAATGGCCCACTGTGTCTTGCGTCGTAGATGCACGGAATCCCGGCCGATGGGGAATGGGACAGCGCGCCTCGTCTCAAATGCACGGGAGCAGCTTGCGACCTTCTCATGCAAATTTGCTCAAAGTGAGTTGGTTCACAGGCCGTACGTTGGTAAACTTTGGTATAACAAGTGAGTACTAGCGTGAGCCACATGCGGATGCACGAAGAATGCATGTGAAGGCCACGAGAACTAAACTATACACAATGCCTGGAACATGCTAGTCGATCGTAAGTTAGGCTGCGCTAGTTCAAACGACCCAAAGCTAGACCAAGGTCTATGTTGCAAACATGTGATAAGCCTGGCCTGGCCACTCTCAGCCAAGATCTGCGCAAGGGCTATCGAATACTTACGTCATGCACAGCCACGCCACGCTAAACTATGAGGAAAGACGAGAAACCACGTAAGCTAAACTACATAGAGCAGATGCCAGTGGAGTAGCTCAATGTGGAGCTGCAGCTGAATTTATTCACCTATTTTACTAAGCTATGGCAGGCTGGCCGCGGGGGCGAGATTACGAGGCCGGTGATGACAGCTCGCTGCAAATATGCGAGATTCCTCGACGCGTGCTTCAGAAGTTTAGGGTGAGGAGCAACTCTGTGCTCGCAAAGCTCCGACAATGAAGCAATAACCGATGGGAGAAGCCACTGCTGGGACTATTCAAAGTCGGAGCTGGCCTTCTGGGCCGTGGAGAGATCCTTCTCGAACTCCTCCTCGGCGCCCGATGAAAACATCCCCAAAGCTGCCTACGACGCTTCAGCCTACTCACCAACATGCCCACCCCCTGACTTCCACCACTCCCACCCTACAGCACAGCAAGGCACCATCTGTCTACCCACCTACGTGAACAACCTTCCGCCTTCCTCCAATATGTCTCCATTGCTGCCCTCGCTCCCGTCGGATGAGACACCCTGCATCTTCTCCTCGTCACCAGGGCCAGTGGGAGGGAGGGGAGGAGGGAAAGAGCGGGTACTTGGATGGAAAGGAGGCGAGAGGGCATGACCGTTCACGAAGACATACAACTGACGACCTCACGCGCCGATTTCGCGGCATGCGTGTGCACAAATAGCCTGGGAGATCGCGCCGGCACGCCACATCGGAGATGTTCGCACTGCTTCGTGGTTCGTCAGTCCTCTCAGACGGAACGAGCACTGCCGGGGCAAGAGCCATCAACACAAACCCGTGAGCGGCAGCGGCAGCAGTCCAAATCGCAATGAAGCTGGGAGCCCTATACGCACATAGAGGCACGAGTGTCTTGGCTGTCGCTACTTCTTGTGAGTCACTACCATATGAACACCTTACGACTCATTTGTTTGCCTGCTGCTGTATGAAGCAACTAAGACTTGTCTGCGATTGAGATCAGGAAGCAGCATTGTGAATACAAACTCTATGTCAGCCTGATCATTCCTTGTATTAAACCAATCAAGGGAATACTTAATGAAAGGGCACAGGTTGCGGCGTTAGCAATACTTGATTCACATCAATTCCATGTGACTTGCTCTGGGTTGCAGCGCAGTGCGGTCCAGCGTCCAACATTCATTTGAACTGTCATGATGTATTTCACTCCTGTGCACTGGTTTGCGTTGAGCTGATGTGTTGCGCTGTGTTGCTGTGCCATGCTTTGTTTCGAATTGCTTTGCGATGCAGTTCGTTTCGCTGTGCTCTGTTCTGGTGTGCATTGCATTCCTTTGCTTCGTATTGAAGTGCAACGATGTGCTCCGCGTTGCAGTGCATTGCGTTGATTTGCTTTGTACTTGCATTTCTCCGAACTGCTTCGCAGTTGCATGTCATCGCATTGCTGCACGTTTCAGTCGGGAGGGGCCTCGAGGAAAAGGAGGAATCCTAGAGGAATCTGGGGATGGCTTATCAAGCAAGCATCGCCACCAGTCTGGTTGCACACAAGATTTCAGTGCCCCTGAGACGAAGCCAAACATTTGGGAAACAAATTCGCACGTATCTTGACGAAAGGCCCACCCATATGCAAGTATGAATGCCGCGTTGTGGTCACTCGCTTTCGGTGATGCTCCCTATGGGCACAAAACGCGTGAGGGCTGAGCCGTCATGGTGGTGGTGTGGTGCGCATGCGAACTGTGCCATTGGGGCCTCAAGTGAGCTCCCTGTGGGGCCACGAACCGTGCGAGGGGTGCGCCGAAATGAACCCGGGATCCGCATGCGAACGTTGCCAAAGCAGCCTTGGTGCACGCGGCCACGGCGTCTGGAGCCTTCAGTGGAGTTCCCTATGGGACCACGAAACGCTGTACTGGGTGAGGGAAAAACAGCAATTCGGGCCTTCGGAGGAGCTCCCTATGGTGCTACGAAGCGCTGTATTGCATGGGGGAGACGCATGCGGCCGCGGCCACTGCGGCTTTTAGCGGAGCTCCTTATGGGGCCACGAAACGCTGCACTAGGTGGGGGCGACGCACGTGGTCCCTGCCTCTGGAGCCTTCGGTGGAGCCCCCCATGGGGGCACGAAGCGTGTGATGGGTGGGTCTGCATGGGGCAGGGAGACGCATGAGGACCCTCCCACTGGGTCCTTCGGTGGAGGTCCCTATATGAGGCCACGAAACGTGTGAGGGGTATGCCGACATGAGGCGGGGAGGAGCATGTGGTCCCTGCCTCTGGGGCCTTCGGTGGAGGTCCCAATGGACCACGAAACATTGTACCAGGGGGAAACGCATGTGGACCCTGCCACTGTGGCCTTCGGTGGGACTCCCTATGAGCTGCGAGCTACGACACGCTGTACTGGGTGGGGGACACGCGTGTGGACTTTGCCACTGGGTCCTTCGATGGGGCTCCCTTAAGGGCCCCAGAACGCTGTACTGGGTGGGGAGACGCATGAGGACCCTCCCAGTGGGTCCTTCGGTGGAGATCCCTAGATGGAGCCACGAAACGCTGTACTGGGTGGGGGAGACGCATGTAGACTTTGCCATTTGGGCCTTCGGGGGAGATCCCTATATAAGGCCACGAAACGCTGTAATGGGTGGGGCAGACGCATGAGGACCCTCCCACTGGGTCCTTCGGTGGAGATCCCCATGGGCCGCGAACCGCTGTACTGGGTGGGGGAGACGCATGAGGAACCTCCCACTGGGTCCTTCGGTGGAGATCCCCATATGGAGCCACGAAAAGCTGTACTGGGTGGGAGAAACGCACGTGGACGTTGCCATGGCCTTCGGTGGAGCTCTCCATGGGCCACGAAACGCTGTACTGGGTGGGGGAAACGCATGAGGACCCTCCCACTGGGTCCTTCGATGGAGATCCATATATCGGACCGCGAACTGCTGTTCTGGGTGGGGGAGATGCATGTGGACTTTGCCACTGGGGCCTTCCGTAGAGTCACCTGTGGAGCCACGAAACGTGTGAGGTGTGTGTGTGTGTGTGTGTGCCGACATGGGCATGCGGAGAGCAGAGGCAGGGGTGGAAGGGGGCAGCGGGAGAAGTAGAGCGCGGCGGTGTTTGTTCAAAGCGAGGACTTGACAGCACAGGACGGTTGGAAACAAAACATGTGATTGAAAAGATCGGTGGCGGCGTCCACCTCAGAGAAAACCAGGTCCTCGAAAGCCCCCACCAAACAGGAACGACCCTGCGGCTGCATGGAAGTCGGTGCGTGCAGGGAGTACTGCGCGCGCCTGCGACGCAGCCACCAGGCTCGCAAGCTCAACGCTCACGAGCCATGGGGAACCAGGCAAACATAAGCAGCCTCGTCCTCCACTCTGCCTCGAACCAGGGTTGGGAGACTGCTGAAGGCTGCGCTAGTGGAAGTCACGTCGGTGAGCGTGCCTGGCTGAGTGTCTTCACAAGAAACATGAATCTGGCGTCCCAAAGGCGGCTGCTCCGACATGGCTGCGCTCCAGTCCCACTGCTCCGAGGGAGGCCACTATAATCGATGGACTTGCCCTACCTGGCGCAACAGACAAAGTGACGCGTGTCGCACTGACGGTGATGATCACCACGGTGAGGTTGAATGCAAGATGCCCCATGTCCGGCGCGGGGCGTCGTGTGTGCGAGGTGCTTCACGCTGGCGCGTGGAAAACTGTGCTCGCAGCTTGGTAAGGGAGGAGGGCCGCACAGTGATGCGAGCAAGAATCCAATGTCTCGCAGCCGACGCGTGGAGAACCGAGGTAACTTAAGGCATCTCTGGTGGGACGTAAACCGCAGCACGGTCTGAACCCTTCTTTGCGCTTGCACCGACAAGCTGGGCCCGAATGTGTCACCCTTCTTGAGATTCGCGGGCAAGTCCCCCAACTTTTGCCAAATCCGCTGTCGCACCGCCTCCTGTACGACATGGCTTGCCACCTCGGGCGAAATCGAACAGACAGCCACTTTTCCGAAGCAACGCGGCTCACATTCAGCTGAATGGCGGAGTCGCGCTCACTTCGCCACCCTCCGTTGGCGGCGCGCAGAAGGAGGCAGGGGGAGGGGGAGGGCTTCTCAGTAGAAGGCTGCTTCTCAGAAGGCGCCGGCCCTGCATCTATAGAGAGTGCACGCATCATCTAAGAAGCAGAGGTGCTTCTAAGAAGCCTTTCCCCTTCCCCTACCCCCCTTCTGCGCGTGGCCGACTGCGTTTTCCAAAAAGCGAGTGGGGTGGGCCGATGAAGGTCGATCCGGCCACGTCGGCGCGCCGTGCCGCGGGGCGCGGTCAACCCCCGCCGCGCGGTGCTTACCCGCGATGGAGATTCGGTTCGCGACCGTCGGCGGCAGCGGCGCAGCGACGCTTGCGGGGAAGCGCTGGGTACGGTCCCACCACCGCTAAGTAAACAGACTCGAACTTATCCCTATGCCTAAGATTCCCGATACATTGGGGGTATCCTGAATACCGGCATCGAGGTAAAGTGATACCAAGCATGAGACGATCCAAACGGGTAGCCAATCACGAACGACTCAAGAACACCGCTAGGCAAACGATGCTCCTTGAAACCGGTCTGCTGTAACACGGAAAGGTCCACCACCCCTCTGTGCAGCGCATGGTGCGTTCGTGCGTGCGTGCGAACGTGCGTGAGTGTGTGTGCTGTGTGTTTGTGTATGCTGTGTGTTGTGTGTGTTGTGGTTGTGTTGTGTGTTGTGTGTTGTGTGTGCTTTGTGTGTTGCGTGTTGTGTGTTGTGTGTTGTGTGTGTTGTGTGTTGTGTGTGTTGTGTGGTGTGTGTGTGTGTTGCGTGTGTTGTGTGTGTACTGTGTGTTGTGTGTTGTGTGTTGAGTGAAAGTATGCGTTGTGTGTGTTGTGTCTTGTGTGTGTTTTGTGTGCTGTTTGTGTGTTGTGCGTTGTGTGATGTGTGTTGTGCGTGTTGTGTTGTGTGTGTTGTGTGTGCTGTGTGTGCTGTGTGTCTTGTGTGTGTTGTGTGTTGTGTGTGTTGTGAGCTGTGTGTGTTGTGTGTGGTGTGTGCTGTGTGTGTTGTGAGTGCTGTGTTGTGTGTTGTGTGTTGTGTGTTCTGTGTTGTGTGCTGTGTGTGTTGTGTGTTGTGTGTTGTGTGTTGTGTGTTGTGTGTTGTGTGTTTGTGTTGTGTATTGTGGGTTGTGTGTAATGTGTTGTGTGTTGTGTGTGCTTTGTGTGGGTGGTGTGAGTTGCATGTTGTGTGTTGTGTGTTGTGTGTGTTGTGTGTTGTGTGTTGTGTGTTCTGTGCGTTCTACGTTGTGTGCTGTGTGTTGTGTTGTGTGTGTTGTGTGTTGTGTGTTGTGTGTGTTGTGTATGGTGTGCGTTGTGGGTTGTGTGTGGTGTTTGTGTGTGTTGTGTGTTGTGTTTTGTGTGTTGTGTGTTGTGTGTTGTGTGTTGTGTATGTGTGGTGTGTGTTGTGTGTTGTGTGTGTGGTGTGTGTTGTGTGTTGTGTGTGTTGGTGTGTGTGTGTTGGTGTGTTTGTTGGTGTGTGTGTGTGTCGGGCCCTCTGTATTTTCGGCCAAACCCTGGATGTGGATTTGTTATTCGAGAGGTCAAGAAAGAGACTGATTCATGGACGAGAGACTTACTGGCCGCACCCGTTGGCAGGCGGTTTCACGATCGGCAGCCGACGGCGCAACCTGCAGCGCAACCAATCGCAAGTCGTTTTGTGTTCGGCGACCGACGGCGCGCATCGATTGGCGCAACCCACGCACGCCAAAACCCATGGATGGCACAACGTACGGCACAAGGCGCAACCACCCTGTGGTGAAGACCATGGATATCGCACTCCATGACGCAGCCTGTTGCCTGTTGCACACGGTGGTTGCCCCTTACACTCTTCTTCTGGTTTGCGCTGATGATTGGGCCTGAACGGCGAACTGTCGTGCGGTTAATTCGGGTGGCATGCCGTGAAACGATGTTGAGGCCGACGGGTCGAGCATAACACGCGATCATGGTTGGCCCCATGTTTGCATAAACGATGCCCTCGTGAGGTCGAAGGCTCTGGTTGCGCAGCAGAATATTCATCGTAGGCCCTCCTACCAACCCCTGAGGGCCCCCGCCTATCCCCCCCACTCCACTGGTATCGACCCTGCGCCCCCCCCCCGCAGCGCGGCGGACGAATACGCGCGGAAGCGCAATCGAAGAAGCCCCCATCGCGCCACGATGAGATGAAGCTTGGCGGCACCCCGAGACCACGAACGGCTGGCTCACCGTGCATCCCCACGCGTGGCAGTGCCCGCGCCGACGCACTTTCAAAACTTGGTGTCGCTGATGTGAAGGATGCCTCATGGAATCCCAGTTTTGGAACGATGCTACCAAAGGATTCGAAGCGCTATTTGTAGGTGGTGCTGTCGTACGCTCGAGCTTGAGTAGGTGGGTGTATGTGTGTGTGCGCGCGCGAAAATACATGTTCGACGCCGGTGGAGTTCGGAAAAGGGGAACGAGGGGAGCACGAGAACTTTAGACCCCTCCGTGGCCCCGAATCTGATCGGAATCGGCACGTGCCCCCGGAACGCCCACCGAGGCATCCCCGATCTGATGGAACTCGACCGATGTTCGGGCCAGCTCCCACACACACACACACACACGTGCACACATCTTTGTTATAATATTGAATACACGTATACGCATACATGAACAGATACACACAGATGTAAAACACATCCGACATGGTGTAAGATGGTCCCAGGGCCCGTCCTGGAGCCCTCTCGGGCCGCCGTGCAGGCCCTAGAAACCGCCCCACGCGGCGAAACTCATTGAAGAACAATCGCTGTCTCCATGATGCTGTCCTTCTCGCTCATCCGGTCTTGACAGAACCCGGGACAGCTCAGGAGGCGCCTGAGATCGCTCCAAGCCTCCAAGCCCACAAGAGTGGCACAAGAGGCGCCCAAGACGGCCCCAGGCGGGTCCCACGAGGGGAGCACGAGCTGACACTTAGAGCCCTGGACTCTGTGATGGCCTCCGAGACCGCCAGGAGGCCCCCGAGAGGCCCCCAAGAGGCACCAACGAGGCCCCCAAGAGGGCCAAACAGGTCCCAGGGAGACCCCAGTAGGCCCCCAAGAGGCCTTCAAGTTGCTTCACAAGAGGCCGCACGAGGTATCAAAGAGGCATCCGGTCCGCGACCCAGGCACGGTGGCGCATTGGACCGACGAATGCCATTAGATGTGTGCATTGAAAGCTGTGCACTAGAAAGCCAGGGTCCGCATTTCAACAATGTCTCTAGGATGTGTTCCATGCCGCTGCGATGGAACCAGCGGATTCGTGTACGCACTTACTGACCACTGCTGCTCTGTGTGGCGTGCCAGGCGCCCTATGTGTTGTCTTCGGTGTGGTGCTGTACGTCGTAACGTGCGGGGCGTGTCGACGGAATGACTCCCAAACATCGGCGGACCTTCCATGACACGGGCCCTCGAATCCAGCAGCAGACTGGGGGAACTGTAGCGCCAGCGGGCGAAATCAGAGGAGGTGCGGGACAGCGCGTCAGAGCCGCAGCCGCCTTCATCTGCCGCAAGATGCCGAAGATCGCGCCGCTCCGGGCGTTGTACGAGCTGGCGCCGCTGGCCGCTCCCTGCTCCTCGTTGGGCTTCGCCTGAAGAGGAGGGGGCCGGAGACAGTGGCACCCGAATGTCCGCTCTTGGGGGGGGGCCAGGAGCGTGCAGCAAAGATCGCGCGGGGTCAGAGGGCCGACAGCTCCGCGCAAAGTCCCCTGTCTGGCCACAGGCCCAGGGGCAGGGGAGGGCTTGTGAAGGCGCGCGCTGAGGGGGCTGGGGCGAGGATGGCAGGCAGACGTCATGGAGGGCCTCGGGTGCCTCCACGGAGCCTTCTTAGCAACGGGGTGCCTTCTGAGGAGGTCCCCGCCTTCATTCGGAGAAGGGCCAGAAATAGTCAGTGGACCATGGTGACAATCTTGGCTCGACGCTGTCGAAGCATTGAAGCTGGGCTGGGGCCGACGTCAGCGCGGCTTGCACGTCGCATTCAAGGCACTCAGGCTTTACACGAACGAAAGGCGATCGGCGATAGGGGGTCCGACCGTCTACGGCTCTCAGAAGGTCAACCCCGACCGCCCCACCCCCTTGCGCGCGCCGACGGATCGAGGCGGCGGGGGGCGGGGGGGGCGAGAGAGGACGGGCCGAGAAAGCAGAAGCCCGCCGCCGCGGGCGCCCGGCGCGGCGGTCCGCGCCGGCTCCTCCACCCCGCGGGGATCAGCAGGTGCGGATGCTCTGCGCCCGAGCTGAGCGCGCCCCGCGCCCCGGGACGACGGCGGCACGGAGCCGCCGCCCCTCCGCGCCCGCTCCCGGCAGGCAGGGTGCCGGGGGACGGCGCCTCCTGGAGGTCCGCTGGCCGGCACCACGCGCGGTGCGCGGACGCGGGAGAGGGCTCCAGCGCAGGCGGGGGCACTGCCACGACACGTTGGATGCATGTGGCGGTGCCGCGTGGTGCTGACGCCAATCCGTCCTGGCTGTGTGTGATGCTCGGATCGGCCTGTTCCATCTCTTGCCTCAACGCGACCTCCAACATTTCGATGATTTGTTGATGTTGTGTTTTTGTTGTTGTTTCTCTCTCTCTCTCTCGCTCGCCACCTTACCCTCTCTCTGTTTCTCTCTGGCTTGTCCTCTCGCTTGTCGTTCCTCGCTTCTCTCGCCGACCTCCTCCTGCAACAGATAACCATCCTCCTTGCTCGTCCTTTGGGTGTTCTCTGTCATCGTGTCTCACTTGTCCTCCCATGCCGTTCTGCCTCCCCCGGCCGTCTCTCACGCTGCTCTCGTGGTTAGTCCCTTTCGCTCACCGCACCTCAGAATTACTTCATCCTGAGGCGCTCGCTCAGAATCTAATCTAGGGACTTCCTTCATCCCACTCGTACTAATATTTCCGCTTCCGCTCAGTTCGAGACTCTCGTTGCCCTGTCCCCCCTTCCTCTCCTCCCCCCCCGACGTTTCCCCTGCGATTCTTTATGGCTGCTGCTCCGCCGCTCGCTTCCTCCTCCCCCTCTTCGTCGTCGTCCTCCTCCTGATCCTCCTGCTTCCTTCTCCCTGTTTCCCCCGTCCTCCCCCACCCCTCTCCCTCCCCATCCCTCCCTTCCCCTGTTGTGTCCCTCCTCGCCTTCCTTCGCCACTCCCCGTCCTGGTCCCCCACTCTCCTTCTGAAATTTGAGGAAACGGCTGGGGAACAAATTAGCTTGGCGAAGGACCCAACCACATGCAGTCAGTTGTGAGCATCTCCTTCGGTGGAGCTCCCTAGGGGGCGCGGAATGAAGGGTGTGCCGCAATTAGTGGGTGAGGGGCGCGGGCGAACATCACCACTGGGGCATTGAGGGGAGCTCCCGATAGGGCCACGAAGCGTGTGAGTGGTGCGCCGAAATTATTGGGGGGGCATCCGAACACAGCCACTGAGGCCTTCTGTGGAGCTCCCTCTGTGGCAACGAAGCATGTACGACGTGTGCCGAAAGAAGGAAGGGGGGTGGGCGCAAACGAATACCGCCACTGGCTTCTTCAATGGAGATCCCTATGGCGCACGAAGCATGTGAGAGGTGCGCCGAGACCTGTGGGGGGGGGCGCATGCGAACACGGCCTCTGGGGCCTTCGGTGGAACTCCCGATGGGGCCACGACCCGCGTGAACGGTGTGCCGGCATGGGCGGGGGGGCGCATGCGAACACCGCCACAAGGGCACTTCCATGTTACTCCATACGGGGCCACGAAGCGTCTGAGGGGTGTGCCGAGATGGGCGGGGAGACGCAAACGATCACCGCCACTAGGGCATTATGTGGAGCTCCCTATGGGGTCACGAAATTGGTGCGGTGGAGGCGCATGCGAACACCGCCCCTGGGGCATTTGGTGGAGCCCCCCTATGGGGCAGCGAAACATCCGAGGGGTGTGCCAAACGGGGGGGGGGGGGGGGGGGGGGCATGCGAACACCGCCACTGGGGCCTTCGGCCTTCGGGGGAGCTCCCCATAGGGGCCACGAAGCGTGAGAGGGGGTGTACCGAAGCAAAAGCACGCAGAGGGCAGAGGCACCGATGTGAGGAGGGAGGAGAAGGATGAGGGGGAGGAGTTGAGAGTGAGTGGCGCAGGGCGCTGTTTATTCTAAACGAGGACCCAACACCTCAGGATGGTTTGGGGGAACACAGCCGCCTTCTCGAGTCCATCTTGATGCTGGTTGTTGGCCTTCTTCGGGGTGCCCTGCAGGAGTCAGTTGTGGCCCTCTCGGGCACCTCTCGGGGCTCTCTTGGAGTCTTGGGGACGTACATGCGGCAATTCACATGTCTGGGGGCCGTCATAGGGGCCTGTGGCGGGCTCCAGCGGACGCCACGTGGGGTCCACCCCCTTCGGGCACCCATAGCCGACCTGTTGAACCTGAAGAAAACTATATGAGGGCCTCGTTGGGGGGAGAATCCGCTTCACCGGGTCCCTCTTGGAACCATCTTGGGCCCGAAATCTGGGTCTCCAGGCATTGCCCAACCCTGAGGAGCATCTTGGAGCTCTCTTGTGGCCTCTTGGGGTCGTCGTAGCGTCATATTCGCACCGCTTAGCCTTCTTGGCGATCTTGGCAAGCACTACAGAGCCTGCCACCCCGATGTGAACTTCTCAAAGCGAGAGGGGGACCAAAGCTTCGCGTTATGTCCGCGAGACCAAACTGTATACAACCAATACCCATCGAGTCATTCGCTACTACCTTTTTGGCAAAATGGCAGGTTCCGTGCACTAGACTACAAGGCTGTATTGGCACTTCGCGCCACGCGCCCTGCTCCCCAAAATTTCTGGCACACGGGCGGAACACCGTACAACCGAGCAGATGAGCACGTCCACCCGTCAACCCGCTCACGTTCATTTGCTGTGCCTCCAATGCCATCTTAGACGTGTTGTGTCGAGCCTTGCAGAAGTTGCGTTTTGGGCCTGTGGGCCTTCCTAAGGTCTCTTGGGACAATCCTGGAGGCCGCTTGGGCCATCCTGGAGCCCCGCCTTTGGGCTTTCTTGGACTCTTCCGAGGCCGAGCCGAGTGGAGTCGGGACGCCCGCGAAGGCCAGGAGACTGGAAACACTTGGTGGCTGATGGCTTCAGGCGGTCTGAGGTCTCCCCTGGGAGAGCTCCCACAAGCGCTTTCAGCAGCCTCGCGGGTCGCCCTTCGCGGGCCCACGCTTCGTCTGCGAGCCTGGGCAGCATCTAAGCGCCCTCATGACACGAAGCTCGGCAATGGTGTCAAGGACTTTCGAGAACCTCGAAGGGGGCTCTGAAGGGAAGACCAGGGGGGCAAATATGGGCAGGTGACTCTATGTCTGCTGGGCAGGTGACGATATGAGAGATATGGGGCCATGTTCAGGTCTCTTGTGGCGTGTCAGAACCCTCTTAAGGCCATCTTGAGCTCTCTGGGGCTTTCTTCGGCACTCCAGGGGCCATCCTGGAACTCTCGTGGGACATCTCAGGGATCTGGGTGCTCCCATGTCCATCGGGATGTCGGCTTGTTCGAAATTGGATCCTTGGAGTATCTCGCCTGTGACGTTTTTAGACAATCGTGGTTCGGATGTTGAGTGCTGTTCGGTGTCCCCCCGGTGGAACTTCTCTGATTGGGGCCCCCTTGTGACTCGCTTGGGGTTCTCTCGTTCTCTCGGGGTCAAAGAAGAATGAGGGAGAAGAGACATGTGACATGGGTGAGGATGGAGGAAGTTCTAGGAGGGACAAGAAGGGAGGAGGAAGAGGAAGGGTGTGTAAGAAGGAACAGAGTAGAGGAGAGAGGAGGGAGGACACAGGAGGGAAAGCACGGAGGAGAGAGGAGGGATGAGTGAGGAGGAGGAGGAGAAGGACAGCCCAGCAAGCGCTGGCCGGTGGCAAGCCCCAGATGGTGCTCATGCGATCGCACCGAGCCGTGCTGACAGAAACCTCGCCGTCGGTCATTCGTTGATCGATTGGTTGATTGATCTCTGCCCTCATCTCTCAAGAGTGGAGGAGGAGGAGGAGGACGGAGTGGCAGCTTGACGGCCAGGACCCCAAGAGGGACCCCGCGGTGCGCTCCCTGGGGCCTCGCGGGCCCCTTTGCAGGGGAGGCATCGGCCATCCTGGACCCACCTTGTGCTCCTTGAAGGTTCTTCGGAGCCCGGTCCAAGAGGCTGCAGAGATGGGAAGCCCTCAAGCCTGGGCCTGAATGTCTAAGCGTGGGGCCCATTTGGGGCGCAGGGACATCTCTCGGAGCCTACTCGTGACCTCTCGGGGCCATCTTTCGGCGGCGCGCCCGGGGGGGGGGGCAGCGAGAAGGGGCGGGCCTTCTCAGACGGCTCGGAAGTTCCCAGGCCTCCTGAAAGAATTCCTAAGCTTTCCCTGAAGACACAGACAACTTCTCAGAAGGCCAGAGAGCTTCTGAGATGTCCCGCCGCCTCCTGAGAAGGCCTTCGCCTTCTTCTTTCCCCCCATCGCTCGCCGCCGAATCGTGGGATCATGCTGGAGCCTCGAGGGCCCTCGCCCATCTTGGCCTCTTGGGTTCTCCCCCGCACTGTCTTGGGCTCTCTTGAGGCTATCTGGGCAGTCTTCGGACCGGCATGGGCGGTCTCGGGGGCCCTCTTGGAGAGTGCTCTATAATTCGTTATTCACGGCGAAGGGCGC